GGAAGGGCTGGGAGCAGACTGGGAATGGCTGGGAGCAGAATGGGAAGGGCTGGGATACACTGGGAAGGGCTGGGATAGACTGGGAAAGGCAGGGAGCAGACTGGGAATGGCTGGGAGCAGAATGGGAAGGGCTGGGATACACTGGGAAGGGCTGGGATAGACTGGGAAAGGCAGGGAGCAGACTGGGAATGGCTGGGAGCAGAATGGGAAGGGCTGGGATGTGCTGTGATGGGCTGGGATCAGACTGAGAAGGGCTGGGATGCGCTGGGAACAGCTGGGAGGCTCTGGGAATGGCTGGGAGGAAACTGGGAACGGGTGGGAGCGGAGTGGAAACAGCTGGGAGCACACGGGGAATGGCTGGGAGCACACTGGGAAGGGCTGGGATGTGCTGGGAATGGCTGAGATCAGACTGGGAAGGGCTGGGATCAAACTGGGAATGGGTGGGATGCACTTGGAATGGCAATGGGAATGGCTGGGAGGCACTGGGAATGGCTGGGAGCAGAATGGGAAGGGCTGGGATAGACTGGGAATGACTGGAATGCACTGGGAAGCAGACTGGGAATGGCTAGGATAGACTGGGAAGGGCTGCAATCGGCTGGGAAGGGCTGGGATTGGCTGGAAGTCAGCTTGGGAAGGGCTGGGAGCAGACTGGGAACGGCTGGGATAGACTGGGAAGGGCTGGGATGCAATGGAAACAGCTGGGATGCACTGGGAATGGCTGGGATAGACTGGGAAGGGCTGGGATAGACTGGGAAGGGCTGGGATAGACTGGAAAGGGCTGGGATAGACTGGGAAGGGCTGGGAGGCACTGGGAAGGGCTGGGATAGACTGGGAAGGGCTGGGAGCAGACTGGGAATGGCTGAGATCAGATTGGGAAGGCCTGGGATGCACTGGGAAGGGCTGGGATGTGCTAGAAATCAGCTTGGGAAGGGCTGGGAGCAGACTGGGAATGGCTGGGATAGACTGGAAGTCAGCTTGGGAAGGGCTGGGATGCACTGGGAACAGCTGGGATGCACTGGGAATGGCTGGGATACACTGGGAAGGGCTGAGAGCAGCCTGGGAATGGCTGGGATCAGACTGGGAATGGCTGGGAGGCACTGGGAAGGGCTGGGATAGACTGGGAAGGGCTGGGATGGACTGGGAAGGACTGGGATGCACTGGGAAGGGCCGAGATTGGCCAGGAAGGGCTGGGATAGACTGGGAAGGGCTGGGATAGACTGGGAAGGGCTGGGATAGACTGGGAAGGGCTGGGATGGACTGGGAAGGGCTGGGATCAGACTGGGAAGGGCTGGGATAGACTGGGAAGGGCTGGGATGCACTGGGAAGGGCCGAGATTGGCCAGGAAGGGCTGGGATAGACTGGGAAGGGCTGGGATGGACTGGAAAGGGCTGGGATCAGACTGGGAAGGGCTGGGATAGACTGGGAAGGGCTGGGATGCACTGGGAAGGGCCGAGATTGGCCAGGAAGGGCTGG